CAGGGTATATCCCCCTTCAGAAAGAATACACAAGTTAAGGCGAGCCATTTGCCCCTTTCAGCTTTGCATCACAGTCACCACTTACCATACGCAGCACCTGCTAGGTCTGATGGCTTCAACTATGTCTGTGCTCCAACATGCGTGACTGAAGATGTGGTCCTTACAGGCTTGGCGCCTATCCTATTTCGCCCCTTTGCTAGACCATCCTTCCAAGTGTCTGCTGGTGACCCCAGAGTTAGCTCGCCAACTTACCTGGTGGACCTTTGTTCCTCTCCTCCTGGTGGGCCACCCATTCAGGCCTCTCCAGCTGACAGTACAGGTCACAACAGATGCCAGTCAGATAAGATGGGGTGCACACTGAGGTCATTGCAAGATCCACGCCTTGTAGTCAGGCTCAGAGAGACTGCTGCACATCAGTCACCTAGAGTTTCTAGCAGTTATCAAATCCTTCTGAGCTTTCCAATTTCTCATAGCTGGTCGCGGTGTCCAGGTCATTACGGACAATATGACCACCCTGTATCAACAAACATGGTGGCACCCATTCTTTGAATCTTCTATATTTAGCGATTCAACTGTGGGAATGATGTTACGGTCCCCATGTCTTTCCTGTGGCTCTTCCTGTGGCTACAGAGAACAACGAGGTTGCAGACCATCTGAGCAGTCTTACCACCCAAACCCACGAATGGACCCTCAATGATACTGTTTTCTCTTGTTTCTGCAGTTGGTGGGGAACACCAAGTCTCGACGTCTTCGCCACTCAGGTCAACTCCAAATGCAGCAGGTACTGCTCTCAGGCAGGAAGAGGAGAGAACTCTCTAGGTGATGCTTTCATGGTGGACTGGGGTGATAGCTTTCTTTATCTCTTTCTGCCCATTCCTCTTATCCAGCAAACCATAGTCAAGCTCCATCAGCTGAGCCTCGATGCCATTCTAGTAGCACCATGGTGGCCTCAACAACCATGGTTCACCACTCTCGGAGCCATGGCTACCGACTTCCTGAGATTACCTCTTCAACCATCCCTTCTGACTCAGGACGAAGGCCGAATTTGTCATCTCGACCTCAACTCTCTACACCTTACAGTGTGGAGAATTCCTTACTGTGGCTGAAGTTCTAGATAGGGCAAGGAAGCCCTCTACTCAGGTATTATATTCTTATAAGTGGAGCACTTTCACCAAATTTGCTGCATCACGGAAATTGCCCACAGTTCCAGTTTCCGTGGATACCCTTCTCAAGTTCCTTCGTTATCTTTTTGACCAAGGTTTGGCTCATTCAGCATTGAAGGGTTTATATTTCTGCTATAGTTTCGTATCAGCCTGCGGGGTCTGAGGCCTCTCATTTATTTTCTCATCCTACTTTGAAAAGATTTCTGAGAGGTTTACGGAACATGCGCCCACTTCTACGGCCTCCACTTCCACAGTGGTCTGTTCCTTGTGCCTATAACTTCTGCATGTCGAGCAAGTGAGCTGTCAGCTCTTTGAGCTGATGCCCCTTATATTCAATTTTACCCAGACAAGGTTGTATTATATCCAGATGTATCCTTTCTTCCCAAGGTGATTTCAGATGTTCATGTTAATCAACCGTTGATCCTTCTGATGTTGTTTCCAAATCCCTCTTCTGATGTTGAGCACATGCCCCACTCTCTCGATGTTCGTCATGTCTTAGCATTTTATATTTCCAGGACTAAGGAATTTCACACTTCTCCCAGACTCTTTGTGTGCTTCCATGGCCCAAGAAAGGTCTCTCCTGCCTCCTCGCAGACATTCTCAAAGTGGATTGTCTCTGCTATTACTTTAGCTTATGACTTGGCAGGGAAGACTCCGCCAGAGGTGCTAAACACACTCCACGAATGCTATGGCTACTTCTACAGCTTGGTTGCGTGGCGTTGAGGTCCCTGACATCTGTCGAGTGGCCATTTGGTCTACACCCTTGACTTTTGTGATGCATTATCAGGGCCAAGAAGGAAGCAAGTTTTGGAAGGGCTGTGCTGACTTCATTGTTGGCATGACGGCCCTCCTTTCAGTAAGTGAGCTTGCTAGTCACCCATTTGTGTGCATTCACAGAGGCCATGAAGAAGAAAAAAAGGTTACTTACCTGTAACCATGGTTTTTCGAGTGGTCCTCTGTGAATCCCCGCATCCTGCCCATCCTCCCCGCTATCCGTCACTTGGTGTCTTGAGCTTGTTGGAGTCAGAGCCTTGACAGCGGCGGACATCTTTGGAACTGAGGTGTTATGGGCAGGGCAGGTCCACAGGGCAAGGTCCTACTAACGTCTTTTAAAGCTCTAGAATATTGCGAGGAGTCCTGCGCAGGCATAGAAAAACCATTTGTGTGGATTCACAGAGCACCACTCAAAGAACTATGGTTACAGGTAAGTAACCTCTCTTATTGAGGCGTTACATGATACAGTAGTGCCTCGCTAGATGATGATAATCTGTTCCGCTGAAATCGCTGTTTAGCGAAATCATTGTCTAGCGAAAAGCATTTCCCCATTGGAATGCATTGAAACCTGTTTAATGTGTTCCAATGGGGAAGAATCGTCATTGTCTAGTGAAGATTGGCCATAGGAAAGCCGCTTTGCGAACCACCGATCAGCTGTTTAAATCGCAGACTTGCGAAGCTTAGGTCCCAAAAACACCTGTTTGCGAGCACGGAGGGAGCTGTCAAAATCATTGTCTAGCGAAAATTGGTTTGCGAAGCAGGGACCAAACATTGTCCAGTAAAATTCCCCCATAGGAATCACTGTTTTTGCGAATCGCTATAGCGATCGCAAAAAGTCCATGTCTAGCGAAAAAACTGTCATGCGGGGTAACTGTCTAGCGAGGCACCACTGTATAGGAAGGAGCCCAGTGACCTATTCAAAAAGTGAATCACCAGTGCTAGAAGCTTCCAAGAGATGCAAATTAACTATTTTTGCTGAGAAAAGAGGAAAAATATCCTTTGGGCGCTACATGCTTTGCCCATCCCTGCTTTGAGTAATGACTAGCAATTCAGATAAATATATTTACAGCAGTATAGGGTGGATTAGCAGCCATTTTCAAACTATTAAAATAAATTCTATGCCCACTCTTCATTGGTTTTGTTGTTGTTGTTGTTGTTGCTGTTGCTGTTGCTGTTGTTGTTGTTCCCTTAGTGAAAGATGTGGCTAACTGCATGTGTGCACTTTTTAAGATTTCTTGGAGGAGGAAAATCTTTGTATTGTAGGTAGGAAAAATCCAATTGGTTGATGACGACTCAGGTTTCGTTTACGTAATATTTTTGCTCTCCATTAGCTCTGCTAGATATACAAGTCTCATGCTGAGATGGAAGAACCAGCGGAAAATGTTAGAGCTTGCTCAAGTTGGCAAGAATAGGGAAAGCTGGTAACATTTAATGTAGGTTTTTAAAAGTTATTTTCCCCCATTAGAAACTTGAGGTCCAATATCTTAGTTGCTGATCTCTTGGTGTAGCATCTGGTTATGCTTTTGAATTGTAGCTTCCATATTTCTTCATTGTTATCTGTGAGGGCTGATGGAAACTGCACTACAACAGTATCTAGTGGATCAAGTATTATCCATTCATATTAGAGCTCAAATCAGTAATAGCATATTATTTTTTTTATTGTAACTCTGGCCACTAACAAACTACTTTTCTTTTTCCAAGTGCAGCTTGAGATTCATAATATTTTGTAACACATCATATGGAGCCAAGCTTCTAAAGCTCTCTAAATGTCGGTATTAGTTGTGAAATCTATTGTCAGTCTTGCAGGGACAATGACTATTCAGTAGAAAATGTTGAGGCCTTTTCTGGTAGGTTCCAGCACTTGCAATGTCTATCATAAGGATACTTTTGAACAATGAGTTTGTATAGATTTGAAGGGCTCTTTGTCCATTCTTCCCAACATCCCTATTCCCATAATTACCCATTTGTGATCAGCTGCCACCTGGTGGGGGCCTGGATTATTCATAACTATTAACCAAGAAACCTTATTGCAGTAGTGTATTCTCAAGTGATGTTTCAGAAAGTGCTTTCCAATAAAAAATGACACAGTGATCTACTGTACTTCTATTATTTTGGTCTCTGTAATCAGTTTAGAACTTGTACAACTTTTGTTTAGCATCTATACTAAAGGGGATAACGGGAAGTTTGTTATATTTTGCATTCATAGTTTGTCTATGCTTTCCTTATGCTTTTATTAGCTGCCATACCTTGCCACAGTGTGGGCACCCCATGATGTTTAGAAAGTTGAATGAATTAGCTTGTTTCCATGGTGACTGCTACAACTCTGCACAGATGACAAATATTGCTTGTATAGGAGCAGGAGCTTAAAAGGTGGAAGGAGCAGGTTAATCTCTAATCTCAATTCAGTGTGAAGTGGCATGAAATGCTCAGGCATATTAATGTTAGAAATAAAGGAAGGTTCAGTGGGGAAAAATCTGAGATTGAGTCTGTTTATTTGTTAAGCTCTGGTTGAATTTGTTTATCTTAGTGCAGGGGATAACTGGAAGGACACATAAGTCACTATTTCCTATTGACTTTCAACAGGCTGTGGGCTCCTGAAACTTTCTTTTGCCCTTCAGTATTTCCTGACCCATTTATAGTCTGCAGAGATCGATAAATAGTGTGAGGGTCAGAAAAAGGGGGTGGGAAAGGGGGTGGAGAAATGAGGTCCATGCAGTTCAGACTTCAGCATGTTTTCTTGGAACTCACTCTCAATAAATTTAATGGGATTTATGATTGAGTAAGTATGCAGACAACTGCTCTTTTGAGTAACATTAATGGTTTAATGTCCAGCAAATCTTATAAGGGAGATAATACTTCCATTATTTTATAGAATGATACAGATATGATTTCCCCCCCTTACTCACACACATTCTGAATGCCTTTTTAAGAGTATACAACAAAAGTTATCTATTACCACTGATCTGCTACTGATTTCTGTCCATAGAAAAGGGCAGAAAGCTGTAATCCATGCTTTGGGGAAATACTTTCTAAAATGTTCAAGCAGATTCTTTTTCTTTTTAGCAGATGACACCAAGCCCCCACTTCCCCCCACCCTGGAGCCCACAGGACCTGCACCCTCCCTATCGGAGCTGGACTCTCTGCAGGACCCTCCAACTCTCAAACCCATTAGCGAAAGCAAGTCCTTGAAAAGACTACATAAACGGCTGAAGTCTGAGGGTGAGCTCTTTGATAAGAAGACGCTGCAGAGGGAGAGCCACGCCTTCCAGCGCTTGCTCAGCGACAACGGCCTGAACGGATTGGCCCTTCAGGCCACGGGCACTTCTGCCAGCCCTCTGTTTAGTGGAGTGGGCAGGCGGACATCTGTCCTTTTTAAAAAAGCCAAGAACGGGGTGAAACTGCAAAAAGGTCTGGACTGTTCCCTTGAGAATGGAGAGGATCACAGCCAGAGTGGGCAGCTCTCCCCCTCCAGCATAGAGGGTGAGCGGTTATCTCGGAAACGGTCATACAGTGGGAGCTGCAGCGAGAGCGATGGCAAGAAATCCCCCAGGCAGGCAGGAGTGACAGGTGACTTCCCTGAGCTTTCATTTCTCTGGTGTCTTGGAAAGTCAGAGACCCCCGCCCCAGGGTAGGAATGTCTTTTCTAGTTGCTCTGCTTGCCTTCTGGCAAAAACACATCACATTTCTATAGCATCAGACATTTCCCTGAGTCCCTTTGGTAACTGAATGGCTGTCACATAAATCCTAGCATCAGCAATTAATTATGTATTTCTTGAACGTGAGTGAAAGCTATGAGCAATTAAGCCGAAGATTTTTTTTGGGGGGGTGATGGTAGCTTTATTGGTCTTTAAATCTGGGAATAATTTGGAAATTTTTCGTAATGCTGCTAGGCTTTTTTTCAGAAAATGTGTAATATACAGTGGTGTCCCGCATAGCGATGATAATCCGTTCCGGAAAAATCGTCGCTATATGGATTCGTCGCTATGCGGAACAAAAAAGCCCATAGGAATGCATTAAAACACATTTAATGCGTTCCTATAGGCAAAAAATTCACTGTTGTGCAAAAATCCTCCATGCGGCCGCCATTTTCGCTGCCCGGTAAGCGAGGAAAGGGTGCGAAAACACAGCGGACGGCCATTTTTTTCTGGCGGCCATTTTGGAGCCACCGATCAGCTGTTAGAAAAAACATCGCTATATGAAAATCAGTAAGCGAAACATCTTACCGATCATCGCAAAGCAATTTTTTGCCATTAAAAAAGCGATCGCAAAAAACAAATCTTCGTTAAATGGGGTGCCCATTATGTGGGGCACCACTCTATAACAGTTGGAGATGAGGGGGAGCGGGTTTCCCCCTCCTTTATGTAATAAAATTATGTGCCCCTGTTTCCAACATCCATCTGAATCACAAATCTCTCCCCATGCCTTTTTGAAGACAGAGTAACCTGTTATTTACAAACCTTTTAAATAGAGTAAATCCTGGTATGTTATGAGAGCTAAAGAGAGGAAAAATAAGTTATATGAAAATTTTATAGCATATTGTTCCCTATTGCTTCTTATTCTTGATCTTGAGTGATTCTGAGTCGGAATAGAAGTAATTCGCACACAGAAAGATAACATTGTTTTGAAATACAGATCAGATTATTGTGAAGGAGGGAAACACTATTCAGGAACTTCATCTGTTTATAGGGTCTGGATCACCCAATAGAAAGATTAAAGCATTGATATGAGTATGTTCCTGAATCCAGGGCTGTATCACACATGCTTGTACATCATTTGTAGATTTGTCACTTGCCCCTCTAGAAAAAACACAGCAATTGAAGAGATAATGAAAGGTTTCTGAATGTTGTTAGAGCTGTACACATACACAAACTCATCTGATGCTGCAGTCATCAAGTAATAACCACAGACCTGTGAACCAGGCTTAAAAGACATTGAAAAAACTGGAAGCAGTAAAAAAAATCCTAGTGCCTTCTGTCTTTCCCTCATTCTTACTTTGCTCTTTCAAGATTAAGTTACTAGCATATGTGTGTTCTAATTAAGTAAGAGTAGTAACTAATTCTTAACAGTGTTTTTCTTTGGATCAATTTTTTAAGAATGGTCATACTTAAAGATTCATTCTGGAGATTTCTTTACAAACGTTGTCAAAGGAAAGTCTGGAGTGTTATGCTATGAGTACCAAAATGTATCTCTGTCTTAGAGGATCAAGATGAAATAAAGTCAGATTGGTATAGAGTTCCATCTTTGTAAGTACAGTGATACCTGTTTGAGGTATGCAGAGTGTTGTTACAAAGCAACAATTGGTGTTAAACTAATAAGTGAAATGTCCCATGTAGGTGTTGCTTATTGTGAGGCATGCAGGGTGGCTTGCACTGCTGCATTTTATAGTTCATGTAAGGCAATCTTCTACAACCTGGTACCTTCTAGAGATGTGTTAGAATAGAATGCTCAGGCAACACAAGCTGGCTAGTACATTCTGTGTAATCCAACACATCTGGAAGGTGCCAAATAGATGAATGCAGGTATGAGAGGTGAATGTGTGTGTTGTACAAACATGTTTGTTTAGACTGATAGTAAATTACAGGAGTTTAAAACTAGGAGCATGAAGTCCAAAAGAGAACCTTTAACACATCAAAGCCAGAATCTTGTTGAGGTTATGCAGTCCTTTAACAGCAATCTCACAAGCAGTAGGACACATTTTGCTAGTTGTCACATGCCCCATATTCCTCTAATCATGTGACCAGGCACTCAATCGACTGCCAGCATATTGTGGACACAACATTGTTAGTGCATAGCTACTCTATAGAATTCTGGACCAGGATACAAATCCTAATGGAAACTTCACTGCAAGCTTTAGAATGTCTTGAATAACATTGTATTTTGCCATAAGGTGTTCTGGGAGAAAGAGATTTCATAAACTTTGGGCCCCTATTGATAACACCATTTTTCATGTGTGTACATATGGACTTTGCAAACAGAGGAAGGTGCTCTATAGTTTATAATGAGAATTATGATGGAATGTAAGAAGAATGCCCCATATGTATTCAATATAGTTCTCAATGTTTTGGTCATTATAGGCAAAACATAGCCCCTTGAAGTACATCTGAACTCCATTGGAAACCAGTGCACACTGTAGAGTACTGATATGCAATGCTCCCAATGTCCAAATTAGGCAGCACTGTTGGGGCCTAGGTGTGCTCTGATGATAGCTGGTTCTCTATGGGCTGAAATGTTTTTAAGGCTGGTTGACAAAGTGAGTTGTCCTTCACCTCCCCACATTATGTGCTGTGTGGTACTTTTGTGATATGGGTTCCCTTCTATGATGCCTGTTGTGACTTGGATTTCTTCTGTATTGTGGGCTGGCTTGTACACCTAGTACAGCTTTCTAAGACAGAGCATTAATTGTGTCTCATTTGAAAGTCTTATTTGAAAGTTCATTGGCTCATTTGACTGGGCTGCAGGTTGGGTAAAGAGATTAAATGCAATTAAAATGGAGGAAATTGATTACAGTTCTACTGTGCTCCAGTCTTTTACTAAATGGAGCAGATTTTTTTCTTTGACTCTGTTTCTCCTATGATGGTTTCCCTCCCTGCTTTTTAAAAATAATATGCTAAAAATGTATAATGAACTTCTGGGAGTTTATACTCATTATTACTGTCAGTGACCAGGAAGATAAGAATACATTGTTTAGTTAAAATCACATAATATCAGAGACATTGGTCAAGACATGACACCATCAATGCATCCTTTGACTATTTTACCACATTAAAGTTAAAAAGAAGTTCTAAGTTAGCCAGCAGCATTAAAAGATATAAAAGCTTTTAAAACATCACAGCAGTCACATGATACAGGATGAAATTAAGAGACACATATAACCGTCATTATGCCACCCTAACTCCTAGAAAATAAGTTAAACAAGAAATCTTTAACAAAAGCAGGGACACTCGAAGACCTTGTGTGATCAGAAGAATGCGGCAAGCTATTGCGGAAGCACAGTATTTGGCCACTTTACTAGTAATGTAAGAAACCTTATCGGAGAGCAGCAAAAGAATATAAAATTTGTCAGATCTCACCAGAAATTTTAGAAAAATATGGGAGAGAAGATCCTTGAGGAGATCTTGATAGAAATGACAGTATAAGAGGACATGCCCCACTGTTTCTACTTCACCACCGTCGCAAGGACAGAAACTTTCAGAGTAGGGTATGCCTGGAAATCTCCCTTCCAGGAGATTAGAAGACAAAACATTAAATCTGGCTAAGGTAAAAAGCTCTTCTATTCAGGGAATTTTCCTGCCCTCTTCATTATAATTATATAGCAAACATTTTTCAGGAAAATATAATTAAAGGTTAATTAGGGGAATTAGTTGAAATTAGACTAGAGAGAGCAAATTAATCCCTGGGAACATAATTGCATCAGATCAAAGTCCTATCTAGTCTGGCATTCTCCACCCATAGCATCCAGCCAGATGCTTATGGGAAGCCCACAGGCAGGACCTGAAAACAAATAAAACCATCCTTCTTGTGTTCTCCAACATCTTATATATACAAAAGCATTTTGTCTTTAATACTGGAATACTTCTAGCCATTATGACTAATAGTCATTGATAGTAATTATCCTCTATGATTTTGTTTAATGCCTTTCTTAAACGAGTTACGTTGGCATCCCTCTTACACTGAATTCTGTGATTCAGCTATACTTTGTGTGTGGAAGTGATTCCTTTGTGTGTCATGATTTATGGGCCCATTATTCAGCTTCATTGTATGACTTCAGGTCATGATATTGTCAGAAAGAGAAAAATTCTCTGTTTCTATTTTCACATTATGAATAATTCGATAAACTTCTATCATTGCCTTAATTACCTTCTTTGTATACTAAAATGGTTCAAACACTATAAATATTGCTTGTAGGAGATTTCCTTCAGCTCCATTATATTTTTTGTTATATTTTTCTGCACCATTTCTAGTTCTGTAGTCTCATTTTGAGATGTAGCACTTAGAGCTATATATAACTGTCCAAATACAATTACAAATTAGATTTATATAAGGATACTGTGGTATTGGTAGTTTTACTTTTTGATTTCTACTGATGATTCTGGCATGGAATTCATCTTTTTCACAACTGCCACAGAGTAAGTAATCATTTTCATCCACATAACCCCCATGACCCCAAGATCCCTTTATTAGTCAGTCACTACCAATTCAGGTTGCATCAGTATATCTGTGAAGTTGGGGTTTATGTGCTTATAGTGAATCCCATCTGCCATTCTGTTGCTCATTTGATTTTGGAAAGATCTTTTATGAGTTCTTCATAACCCTGTTAAATTGCTTTTGACTTATGGTGACCCTAGTAGAGTTTTCAAAAAATGTGAGATGTTCAAATAGTAGTTCATCACTGCTGGCCTCCAGCAAGTTTCCATGGCCAAATAAGGATTTGAACCCAGATCTCCTAGTTTGTAGCCTAACACTCTGCCCATTGTACCATACTGGCAGTTAGACAAGGGCACAAAGCAGCACGCATACACATCCCCAAAATAAAAGTAATGAGGTACCTAGGGGATTAGCAGTGAACATAGATGCAGTAACCATTTAAAGTGAGCATTTTAGAAGAATAAAAACTGACACAATTATTAATTGGGAAGAGATGGAATACTGGTAGAGATGAGAGGCATCCCAAATGTAAGTCCAGTTAACCTCAACATTATTGCATGAAAATTAGTACTTCTTTCACAGGGTACTAATATTCTGGAAAACAAAAACCAAAGAAATACATAACTAAGAAGACTAACCAGGAATATGATTCAAGATATCAACTGCACTAATGATTCATAGTCTCTTCAGGTAATAATCATATGCAGAACTAGCACTACAGGCATATCCACGTGTTAAAGTTTCCTTCTTACCCACAGTCCTAAGCCAGATAGCAGATAAAAAAAAAACAACCAGATCCAAATAGAGGCGAGTTCTGAGTTATATTTGATGTGAGTAAAATGATCACCCACTGTCTTAGAGATTACAAGCAAGACATGTTACGTTAGCCTTGCAAGTTAATGATTTCATTTATTACCTAATTTTTTTACATACCCATCTCCCACATAAAGTTTTATTTCTTGAAAATTTGATTAAATTCATCCAAATGTTCAAAGTTAATAGTAATGTGCTAGAATAAAGAATGTGTCTGAAATGTGGCAGATAAATGTACAACAAATGTGTAAACAGAGACGCCTTAGTTTTCCTTCTCAGTACAACTGGGTGTGTTTGAAGGTGCAGTCATGTTATCTTTTTACAGGAACAAAATTTTGAGCACACAAAAACCATTCTTTTTCTGAGGGCTGCAATTTCTCCCACTTCTCTTTCTTTTGGTATGATACATAAGAAGAAACTAAAAGCACAGACTGCTCAATTTTTTTTGCAATATCAGAAAATTGATGTTCATGCTTTTTAAGCATGGAGGACCAATGGTTTGTGTGTTGAGTGTGTTCCATTATAGCCTGCATTTCCATTCACAAACAAGTGCTTCTGTGATTATTTTGTAAAGTAATCTTCAGAAGGAATAATAGATTAAGGGTTTGATGTAGCTGTATGTTGTTTTGAAATGAGGGCAATAGAACAGTGTACTTAGCAAAGTTACTTTGTCAATAAAAGTTTCAATAAATATTCGCCCACAAGTACACTAGTGTAAGTACTAAATAGTTCACGGGAATCAGTCCTAGGAGTTTAAACTGGATGTATTTATCCCCCAGTCTGTTCTGCATAGTATAACAAATAGTTTTTTAAAATATGTATTTCAGTTCCTTCTCACCAGTAATGTGGTACACACATTGGTAACACAATGTAATGTCACTGTAGCACTAGAAATTAATGCAGACATCCCTAAAAACATTCTCAAGATGCATGGTCAGTGCATTCCAGTGCAGGACCCAGTCTCTGTGATCAATTTCGCTCCCATTGTGGGGTGGATGTTTGGCAGATATTATGATAGCAAAGTTGGATATTTCTTTGCTTGTAGTTGTTGCAAGATACTTCTTAAATTGGGACTGTACACAGACGTTAGGGAAGATGATTTCATGCATTCTTCTACATTTTAAATCCCTTTTTTAAAAAATGGCAAATTCAAAATACGTCTGGTTAGCTGGTACAAGTGTGCTATTATATCCTTTTTTCTTCTTTCATAAGTATTTTAAGATTTGTTAAAAGATGAGTGTAGGCAGCTAGACTTGTTCTCATATATTTTCTTCTCAGCAGCAGTAACCAATGGCTTCAGGAAGCATATGGAAAATGGTTCCGACTCAGAATGCAGTTCTGGCCTTGGTGGTGGTCTCGCATTTGACATCTGCAGGTAATCCTATTTTGTAAGGTCTCATTCTAAATAATCTTTACTCTCCTGAATTTTCTAGCCTTTCTTTCAATCTGTAGTTTTAGATGTCATTTACATCAGCGTCATGTCATGACTTAATTGGGGCCTTAGTATAGTCAGCATTCCAGTCGTTGTATCTGTGGCTCCATATCTGATGTTGACGTTTGTGGTACTCACTAGACAGTGAGTTTAATGTGCTATTGGGCTAAACTCAATTTTATTCTGTATTATT